GTGATGCCTGACTGCTCGCTGTTCTGCGACTCCGTCTCGGCCTCCTTCCTGTCAGCACAGCCGCTGCCCAGCCCGCAGAGGCCGTCCCGCTCGCCCTCCTCCTGGCCGTCCAGGTGGGCACCGGGCGTGGGCTCCCCGCAGTGGTTGGCACCCGCAGGCCTGTCCGCCGCTGCGCCGGGTGGGCCGCCCTTGCCGGCGTCCCGGGGGGCCTTGGTCTTCCGGGCCCTCTTCTCCCCGCTCTCGCAGTCAGAGGCGGCGGGGGACGGCCGGCCTTCAGACTCACTGCTGCTCCCGCTGTCACTGGGGACGTCCAGCTCCAGGTCGGGGCCTGTGGGGCCCCACACGGGCCGCTTCTCGGGCTGTGTCCGCCCCCGCTGCTGTACACATGATGGGGGCCCCCTGCCATCGGCCCCAGGGGTGCGGGCGGCGGGCCGGGCGCCCCTGTCCTCCTCTTGCCCAGGCCAGGGCCAGCCCCCCCGTGGAGCAGCACCTCCGTTTAGCTCCCTCGCTGGTTTCCCGAGGCCGTTGCTCTGCTCAACCCCAGACACCTGCCTTCCTTCCTCGGGGTCCCTGACGGATGGAGGCTGTTCCGGGATGTCGGCACCTTTTAGAAGAAGGATTTACTACACGTGTGCACGAGAGAAAAAGGTGTGTCACTCAGCATCTAACAGGGACTTCCCGCTCAAGCAGACCTGGTTGCCTCCCACGGCTGCGGGCTTGAACCCCACTCTGGCCCAGGGTTGGCAAACCTCTGCTGGGAGGAGCTGGAGAGAAAACACTCAGGTCTGGGGACCTCACACGCTCACTCTGCTTTGGTTTCCACGACGACACAAAACATGCCGCATGCTTAGTGTCCAGGCCGCGGTCAGGCCGGGCCTGTGGACGGCAGCCTCCACAAGCCGTGCTGTCCAGCCTGATCCTCCGTGGGGATGCTCTTGGGTCCCACCCCTCCTGGCCTGCACCTCAGGGTCATTTCAGTGACTGCAGCAATAACCGTATGCCTCGAAGTATTTCATTTAAAAACTAAAGATCATCAGAAAAACTTCATTTAAACCAAAACTTTAAATTTTCTCCAGATTTTAGGTTCAGGCTTGCCTGGCAGGCGCAGCTGCACGCCTCCCCGCTGGCTCCGGGCCAGGGCACGGCGTCGGCCTCCCGCGTGCCAGAGCCTCACACCAGTGTGCTCTCTGCACACAGTGCAGCGGCCAGATTCCCAGAGTCACGTTTGTCCTTCAAGGAAAGCTGGGAATGAAAGGCAGTATTCAGATGCACTAAGTTGTATTCTTTAATCTTCACTCACTCAAAAAACGTTTAGGTTAGTACTGTCAGAAAAAAATAACTGAAGCCAAATAATATCGTGCTTTTCAGCGTAAATAAATAAACCAACAACCTGTATAACTAAAGTAATAAAAAGAAATAAAACCAAACTGAATTCTGAATTTACAGTGGCCGTGACAGAGATGAGAGGAGAAAAACAGGAGCAAACACTCATCCTCTGACGCCCCGGCGGAGTGGCCCACCTCTCTTCCTGGCCTGAGGCTCCCGGGACCCAGACGGGGCGTTGACGTCCCCCGTGCCCTGGAAGTACACGTACTTCTTCACAGTGATCAGGTTGGGGGCAAACTTCCAGACGTCTTCTCGGTCATCAATGATGCAAACCATTGAGTCTCCACAAGGGAAGAGATTTCTGGGAGTAAGAACCCATCAAAATTACCAGCACAGTTTATAAAATAATCCTCAATCAGAAGTTAAGAGTGTCTCTTATATGAAACCACCGGAGAGCAAATTCCCTAGAAACAGATACACTGAGAGCCTTCATTCAGCTCGCGTGTAAAATCTCCAAGTTTCCGCAGAAAGCAACACTAAGACAGGCTTCTTCGCTTCTGAGATCCCTCAAAGCGGGAGTCAGAACACTTCCTCTAAAGGGCCAGAGGGACGGGGTTGTTCAGGGGCCTCGGGAGCCCTCGTCCACAGAAAGCTGGTGTGGACCAGTAGGGCTGGCCGCACCCCAACACGACTTCATCTACACACACAGGTGTCCAGCCCACGGCCAGGGGAGAGCTCTCAGTCACAGGGGGAGGGCGAGCCCTTACTCGAATCTCAGCTGTCTGGAATACCCAACCGTTCCCTGCAGGGCACCTACCTGACATCGAGTCCAGAAAGGGATTACTGTTCTCCCCGAAGCTGTCAGGGTGCACGGGGTGAGCAGAAATATGAGCGAGGGTCCAAAAAGCCACTTAACAAAAGCGGACCTCCCTGTGGGCTTTTAACTTGATTTCTGCCCACGACTGAGACCCACGGAGGGAGGTGCCGAGAGCCAAACTTCAGAGGGTGCGAGCCCTGTGCCTGCCTCCTGGGTCGAAAAGCAAACCCAGGAGGGGCGCCTGACGCCCTTCAGGTTCTCCAGCAGCCGATTAAGCCTGCGACTGCCCAGAAAAAGTGTTCATGCGTCCGAAGTTAATGTTATTTCCTGAGTCTGTTTTCGTCGTGGCAGGTGAAACACAAAAGGCAGCTCAAGTACCCGGCACACTTAACTCCAGATGCGGGAGGTAAAAACCACACCAAATCTAGCCCAGGGAGCAGACCCAGCGGCCCAGACCTGCACCACCCGAGGGCCCTGGAGCCTGCTCCCCCCACAACACCCACAAAAAGTGGTGTCTGATGTAGTGTAATGGGGCGGGCTACTTTTCTGGGTAGAAGTGGGGAAATTCTTTGTACAGGGGAAGCAAAAAATTCTCAAAATATAAAACAGCCCTTTGTCAATGCCTGGCCATCCCTGTGGTGAAAGCAAAGGCCAGGACAGGGAGGGGAGGAGTGGGAGCAGGCACTGTCGGACTCAGGACTGTATCACGTCCTGAGGGACAACAGCACACGAGAGTCTAAAGCCAACACCCCTGCCAGCAACCCCTCGAGACTCCTGACCCGGCAAAGCCACCGCCTTGCCCGCGGGGAGCCCTGGGTGTCCCTCTCCCACCACCTCCACTCGCCCCCTTCCAACTGCTACGACTCCACTGCTCTCGGGGCCTCTCCCCACCCCTGTCGCCCTGGGCTCCGGCCCCAAGTTCCCCAGAACCGCCAGTGCCTGGACATCCATAGAGACGCAGGGATGGGAGGGTCTGGGGAGAAGACAGCCGGCATGCTAAGTGCCGGAAAACCAACAGTGGGAACCAGGAGAATCAAGGCAGAACCGCTGTCTGACGCTCCAAGTGCAGTCAGCGGGGACGGCACGGGCGCCCCAGCAAGGAACACACCAACCAGGTACATACCTCAGATTCCCTGTTTTAGAAAACGGGTCAATACATTCGTCCCTCGATAATATTCGGTGAGAAAAAAGCTTCTTCTCAGGATCCAAGAACCCTACGAAAGGAGAGCAGGACGAGGTCATGTGTGTGGGATGCACGAGGTCCCACTGTGCACGTGGCGAGGCCGTTCCGAACGCGGGAAGCGCCGCAGCAGGACTGGCGCCAGCGCCCTCCTCGCTCAGGCGGGACAGCCGGCCACTCCCCGCCTTCCACTCTTAGTTTAACACACGTCAGGCCACCCGTGCAGCCAACGCTGGCTGCATTTCACACCCCCTGGGGTCTCGCTAGGCTGGAAGGCGGGAGCATGAGCTTCATGCCCAGGAAGCTCAGGGCCTCCGGGGCAATACACCCAGGCATGCCCCTCAACACCCGCACACGGGGTGCTTGGGGCACCGGAGAGGGGCCCAGACATGGGAGAAGTGGCGGTCCCGACTGGGGGCTAAAATCTTCCTGAGCCCTCATCGTTCACAGGACAAAGTGGGCGGCAGCACCTCTAACCTCGCACCCCGCCTGCAGACTCCACCCACAGCCGGGCCTGCTGCAGACCTCTCACCCAGACAGGGAAGCCCTGCGTAGCTCCAAGTGCATCCTGTCCCCCCAGTCACCCTCTTCTCCAGCCTGGCTTCCAGCCCACCCTCCCTGTGCCGCCCAGATCCCGCCTCATCCCTGACGCCGGATGACACCGTGAATCTGACACTGTGTCTCAATCCCTGCCTTCATTGAGTCATCAGTATCTCGTTAACAGAAAACTCGCTCTTACAGAAAAAACGTAACACTACTTTCCAACACAGAAAGAACGCTGTCACTCCTGTATGGACGCTGATGGTTCTCAGCAGCTAAGCCGAAAGCTGATGAACAGAATTATTAAGTCTCTACAATGAATCAACGAAAAGCAAGCAAAGCCTCAATGGACATACTTCCACCCTAGCTACAGTGAAGGTGCCATTCTGTGGAAGGAGTGACTTTCACAATTAAAAGCTGACGGAAAGAGAAAGCTGCAGAAACCATCGCTGTTAAAAGCCACTCAGGCATCAGAATGAACATCTGGCCTCTTGCTGTCACCTGTGAATAATCACACTGACACAGGTGACCAGCTGACTCCTTCCAGCTAAAGGTGCCCTGGTCATGTGTGGACACGCTCAGTCCCCAAACCCTCGGAGCCCACCGCTCTCAGCAGCCCCCACCCCGACCCCGTGAGCCATGAGCTTCTTCCCAGGTCCTGTCCATGAGCGAGCACTGTCAGTCTCAATGTCATCCCCACCACAAGGTGCTGCCGGAGGGTGTCCGCACCCCCCTCCTGGGACACTGCCCACAGTTTCCCTATGACGTCCTTGTTGGACCCATGCGGGACTGCGGGAATTCCCCTGGGAGGCGGGTGGGCTGAGCTGGCGCGCACGGGAGAGGCCTCCCCAGGGACCCGCTGCTGGGGTCCCATGGGCCTCTCTGACCCCTAGAGAGGACAGGCTCTGGGTGGAAGGCCACAAGGGGAAGCTGAGGGTGCACCCGAGGGGCTCCCGGTGCCACGTCCACGCGGGTGCTGCACTCACTGCACGAGGAGTCCCGGAAGGACTGTGTCCGTCTCCAGTTATGTGCCTGGGGGCTGCACAGCAGCCACATGCTGGGCCAATGAGCTGAATTTAGTTACACGACGCTCCCGTGTCTGTGATGAACCTTTCCTACAAGGGCGCTAAACAGTAGAGGGGGTTCAAAACCTATTTCCTGTAGACAACAACAGACCAAGACCAACCTGTAAAGATGTCTGAATTGAAAGTACTTAATTTAACCTCCTTGTAACTAACACCAAGGAGCTGTGACCACGCTATCACGCAGGTACCCAACGTCCACTGACGGGCCCCTGTGGGCTGGACCTAGCTGTGCCCCTGCGGGCGAAGCTAGCAACCTGCCCGCTGTCCCCAGCCAGGGCGGCCCAGGGACTGCTGCACACACGCACAGGCATGGCCGGTGCAGAAGCACGAGGCCCCAGGCCCAACCACCACACCACTCCCTTCCCAGGAGGACACGGCCTCGTATACACCGGGAGTGCTACCTGCAGACAAACACAGGCAACGTAGCTGCAGCGCCATTTCCAAACCAGTTACAAAAATGTATTTTTAAAGACTCTTAAGAGTTCCTACTTTTCCACATATCTGTGGCCCTGACCAACTTCCAAAGTGGCCAGTGACTGTGGCCTGCAGCCCAGCAGTGTGGGTGGCGCCCGCCCAGTGACCAAGGATGCGGCGCTCTCATCCCCGGCAGCCGCGATCGACTCAACGGTGCCCCCCACAAGCCAGCCAGAGGCTGGACTCGAGCCTGGCAGCGCTTCTCGGTCTTCCCATTTCAGGAACCTCTGCGGCAAGCAAGCAGCCTCACCCGCGATGGTGTGCGCGTACAGCCGGCTGCCGAAGGTGAAGACGTGCAGCTCGTACAGCCGGGCGATCTTCTCCAGGAACTCCTTGCAGTGTGGACGCAGGCGGGTGTGCAGCATCGGCTCGCCCCGGCCCAGCTGGAAGTGGAATATGCCCTGCAGAGGAGAGGCCGGGTCAGGGCGGGGCCGGGGCGGCAGGCGCACTCTCCTTCCCGCGCTCCATGAGCGGCTCGGCTCCTCTGCCGCAGGGACCACCCCGGGGACACCTGGGACAAGCACGGAACCGCCCAGAGCAGCCCTGGCAACTACCTGCAGGAGTCAGCTCCCTGTGACAGCTGTGGCACCCTAGCCATCTGCAGGCCAGGAGCCACGGGCGTTGCTCAAGGGCTCTTGGTACCCGGACACAGCGTCACACGTCCCGACCACCCTTCTCCGACAGCGCTGAAACCGAGTACCCTAAGTGAGGCCATGCGTGTTTTTGTTTCCCCAAACGTCCTATGTGTCCAGCAGGAGAGTCCCGCTGTGTTGCTGGGAACAGATCCCCAGTGACCTACCGACAGTCAGGGGGTCAGTGACAGTCTCACTAACAGTCTGACTCCGAGACATGAGATGCAGCTTCACTCACTCACAGACACAACTCGGAAGCTGAACCAGCGTTCTTAACCATTTTGAGGAGCCATGAAATGAATAATCCCAGCCTGTCTACACACGATTAGCATGCAAGTAAGTCACTCTTCTAGGAAGGTCAATTTTGACGCTCCTAGTCTTGCTCATCATTAATTATCTCAGTAGTGATAAACAATCAGAGAAGAAGAGTAAACAACTCAAGGCCTAGTTACCTTTTTACTGGCTCTGACTTACCCACACCCCTCACGATGGGGCTGTTCTGTTAAAACCTCTGGGAGTTCAATTGTGTGAACTTTCACCGTACTCAGTACTTAAGAACTCCAAAAGCTGCAGCAGAAATATCCTTAATAACCCAAGTTTGGATCTTCAAGGTTAAAGATTAAATATGCCTTTCTAGCTGTCACTGACAGGTGTCCCATAGACTCAGGCACTGTGGCGGGTGGGTGGCCATGGGTCACGGACGTTGTCCCTGAGTTGGCAGAGGAACCCGGCCAGCAGGCAGGGTGTGGGCAGAGGCAAAGTCAAGCCACCACCAGCAGCCAAGGACTGTCCATGTGGCCGTGAGGACACATTCCAGACCTCAAAAATCGAGAACAGGCATGTTGTGATTCGCTCAAACTGTTTTATAAAATGAATTAAAATGCCCGACTTCAAAAGCAGGATAAGCCCTGGGCAGGGGGCGGCGGGGCTGCCCGGGCGCAGGCGCAGGGCTACACACAGCCCTGCAGCTCTGCTTGGCCCGGTGTCAGCGCAGCGGCTGTGGTGCCCGAGGCAACCTGGAGATGTCTGCCCACAGCTGCCGTTACACAAAAGAACGGGTGCCCACGATGTGAAAAGATGACTGAATTCCAGCCAAAAGAAGCCATTTGCCGCTCACCAGGCACTCAGCGTCCTCCACCTCGGACCTGCGCCCCGAGAGCAGCGACTTCCCGTGAGGACGTGGTCTGTGCGCCTGTCTCATCACCCGATCACTTACTGAGCCAAAAATGACCAAGCTCTTTCAGGTGAAGGTCCCGCTACTGAGCTGTCCTGACCCCCTGCCCCGGAGCCGCCCGAGGACCGCTCACTTTGTTGGACATCTGTGGGCAGTGCTGCTCTGTTGTGTGGATCAGGGTCTGGTCCAAGTCCACCATGAGCACCAGTTTCCTGTTGCGATGCAGCCGCTGCTGGTCCTCCCGTCCGAGCTTCTCGGCCTGCTGCAGGTAGAAAGGACGAAGAGCAATGGCAGAGTAAGTATGTCTGGAGCCAACGCAAAATTCAGTCTTCTCAGGAAACACGAGAGGGAGCTGAGAAGTCCCTCGCCACCCCTGCACCCGCCAGCCAAGCCCCCCTGAGCGTCCACACACCCGGGGGATGGGGGGCCCCTCTGACGTGTGCTCGACTTTAATGAACTACATGGACCGGTGACGAGAAGGGGTGAGAAGAAAGCACTGTGTCCACAGGTTCAGCTGAATGCGTGGAGCAGCTTAGTGCAAGTGAGTGGTACAACGGGCCAGCCGCGCCACCTGGGAGGGGACCCGCGGGGTCCGGAGCCGGCGCAGCATGGCTGTCACCCACAGGCCAAGGTGGGGCTCTGCTCCGGGAAGGAGCCCTGGCCCCACCTCGCATCAGCCAAAGGGTAGGGTGGTGGTGACACTCGCTTTGGGGCTGCGCATCTTATCATCTCTCAGCGTGACTGGTCCTCACTGACCACTGTTAACAGCCCTGGCCCGGTCAGACTGAGGGAGTGTACCGTCTGCTCCTGAAGGGGTTATGCAGAAAGGCCAGCAGGTATTCTGTTACAGCAGGAGCAACGGGGGGACGCTTTTTCTTCTTTTTATCCCCAAACTTCCCAGTTTTGTTTCAAACACACACCTACATATTTGTATTTGTTTAAATTCCAGTAACTCAGGAAACCCAGAATCATCGATCTAGCATTTTGTCTTTCCCAGGAAAAATGAGGAAGGTAAATATAATTTAAAAGCACTAATCTAATAAAATCCTAACAGCGCAGAGAAGAAGATATTTACCTACCCACTCACAAAAGTGTGCAGCTCTGAAACTGCCTCACAATTAAGACGAGAGTTTCTGCAGGGCCCCGTGGGGTGGGCATGTGCCTGGTGCCGGGTCCCAGCGACGCTCACTCAACTCACCGTCCAGACCTGGCCCAGGCACCGGGATGCCTGACCTCAGGCAGCTCTTTCTCCTCTTCAGGCCTCTCATCAGCGCTTGTGCACGTGCGTGTGCCAGCATGTGAACGCTCAGGGATCACCCGTGGGGACCGGCACTGGGCCGTCCCCTCCACCCCATGCCCATGCGGCCAGCGCCACTCAGACCCAACACCTCTCACCTCCGGCTCGGCCTGGCTTCCCCCTGCTTGAGGTCAGCCTCTGCTCCTGGGCAGGAGTCCCAGCGAAGCCCCTCCCCTGACAGTGCGCTCCCGTGGCATCCAGAGGTACGCCCCTCCCACACCGGGGCCTCCGAGCCCGGGATGCAGCTGCAGCTGCAGCTCCTTGATAGCTCCGGACTCAAAGCAGTGGAGCTGCGGACCTTCCCGCGGGTGGACTCCCCTGGGGAACAGCCTTCACCCTCAGGCAGGCCACCCGTCCCTGGGGCAGTGTGACTCCGCACATGGGAGAGCCTGCAGGTGCACTCACTGCGCTCGGGAGCCGCACTCACCTCGGAGCTCACCATCAGCTCCGGGACACTGTGCACCATCGACACGGTGGCCGTGGACAGCGGCACCTGCTGCCTGCCGTTCTTACTCTGTAACCTGCGGAGGGAGAGGGGCGGCTGAGAGGGCGCCCTCAGCTGATCAGCGCCTGGAAGTCTCAGCGGATGCTCTAGCTGAGGCACGCTGCTAGTTCAGTGCAAACTTTCACTCTGTTGACAACTGCTGAAAGGTCCTCCACTGTCTGAAAACAGACAGGAAAACTGGTGAAAAGTTAACAGTCACACTCACAAAGTTCTCTTCGAAAACAAAATGTGACAGGCACACTGAAACCTAGAGGCCCACACTGCTCCACGCGCATAAATGCAGCAGCCCGGGTGTGTGGCGGGGGCCTGGGGCTGGGAAGGTACAGGCCGCCTTCAGGGAGGGCCAGTCCCACCAGGAAGGGACACGCAGTTTGCTCGGCTGGGATGAGAACGCAAATCTCAACCCACCAGCTGTTTCCTACCATACTGGGAGTGAGCATCAGATGTGCTTTCGTGTTTCCAGCACTCCGAGAAACAAAACCAGAAAGGACTACCTCCTGAGGAAGCTGACTGACCTCGCATGGGCAGATGAAGGGATGGGAGCGCCTGCCAGCTGCTCTCGGAGTTGGACTCCTTAGCTCCCATGCCAGGCACCCCGAACACTCATCTCCTGGCACCCACAGTTCACTCTGTCGCAAACACAGAGGTCTGCTGGCACTTACTGGGTCAGGTCTTGGCCACATTCAGCACACAAGCCCTTCATGACAACTGGGTGGCTACATCCTTCCAATCGCACCAGAACCGCCCTAGAAACGGGATGAAAAACCACACATTAGAAAGAACTTACTCTCAGTTTATCAAACTGCTCTAGAAAGAGCATCTGAGGGGTGAGGACACCTGATCTCACGAGACTTCAAGAAGTCACAACACCCTCTAGGGTCCCATTTCTCCGGGTGTAAAACGAAGGTCTTTTCCATCTGCACGTCTCTCTTGTGTAAAGCAGAACAAAACTACACACAGGACAACTGAAAAAACGAAGGCTGTCCCGTCAGGAGAGGAAACTCAGCGATAACATGAAAACTGTCTCAAAATACATTAAATATTTATACGCAATTCTCTTACATTTCTGATAAACAACTTAAAAAAACCGAAACTGTTAATACAATAAGGAACAGTTTGGTGTAACAACAACAAGTAATAAGTAATTGTAATTTCCCATATATTCTTCCCAGTCTAGAAAAAGGCTATGATGAACCTATATTTTTCTGATAGAACTACTGTAATATTCCTAGATTTACAAACACAGAAATTCCTATTTTCTTTGCACGCCCACATCAAACCCTGGGTGCCTGGCAGTGGTCTCCGAAGGGGACTTTCAGCTCATGGACCTGAAGGCTGTGTGATCAGAGCGCCTGATGGGTCAGGGCCCCGGGGACCCATGTCGTGGCCCTGCCCTGACCCGGCTGAGCCCCTCCTGGGCCCTGGGCCGCATGCCAATGTCTGTGAGTGTGGCCCTGCTGGGTGATTCCCCACAGGACAGAGAGCTCTCTGAGGTCCAAACAGCCCTCTGGTCAGGGCCTCGTGCATGAGAACAGATAGTTACAAGTCCCTCCTTCCTCATTCACTTTTATCCAAGGCTTGTGGACTGTCATGGGCAGACAGAGCTGCCAAATGGGCCCCCAAAGCCGGGGGCGGGGGCAACACCCCCTCTTCTAAGTAGGGCCTCTTCTTTCCCACCTTTCTGTCCCTTCCGCTCACAACCTGTCACCTGGTACCTGGGCACTAATGTCCATCGTGTGCATGCAGCCTCACTGCGCCCACCTGCCCCCAGACCACGAACATCACCACTGTACAATCTTCATAAAAACAGCAGGTCCAAGCAGGAACCATCAATAGATGCAAAAAATGTTACACAGTATGGTGAGAGTTAAGGTAGGTGTCTACTGAGCAATGAAGTATCTCTCACATGATACTTAATTACAAGAGGAACTTTTCACTACAGACACTGGCCTAACCAAGTAACCTACACTCAAAAAACTGGAAAGGGACAGACTGCCTGACGGGCCTGCTCAGAACACGCAGGGTGTTCTGGACAAGGCTGGTCTGCAAAACCCCTGGCCAAGGAGAAGACAAAGGAGGGAAAGATGCAGGGACTGTCTGGGTTACAGGACCACCGAGCTGACAGCTGAACACACTATTACTGGCCCATCAGGGAAATCTGCAGAGAAGAAACTGGTCCCGTGTAATCTTCATTTCTAATGCTGCTTACTGTACACGGCTAGGTAAGAGGGTGTCTCTGTTCTTCTTAGGAAATTGAAGTATTTAGAGTTAAAGTGACACCATGCCTGCAACTTACTCAGCTTCAGGAAAAAAAAATGTGTGGAAGGGGAAAGAAGGATAAAGTAAATATGGTAAAATGTGAACATTTGGGAAATCTGGGTGAAGCTTATGAGAATTCTTGGTAATAGTCCTACAATTTTTCCTTATGTCTTAAATTATGCACAAAAAGGAGCTGAAATGCGTACTTGTTTTGTAAGTACTGCAGGGGTGGGTGAGGGGTGCCGGTGGCCAGGAGCAGGGCAGTGCCATCAGCAGCAGTATCCCACATCACTCAAGCAGGGCCAGAAGTCACCCAAGCCAGGACACAGCCACCTGAGAGCACCCCGGCCAGCTCTGGCCTGGTGACTGAATCCATGGCCATAAGAGACAAAGTCTAAAGCATCTGAAGAAGAAACTAAACTAAGAGCGGACTCCCCATTCCCAGTGCCATCAAAATTCTACAGCTACACAGGCAAAGCACCAGGGCTTACTGCAGAGCACAGGGGACTACGTCCAATGCCCTGTAATAACCTACAATGGAAAACAACCTGAAAAAGAGTACGTGAGTACAAGCATTTTTGCGTGTATATGTATATACACACTTCTTTGTATGTTTGTTTGAAACATAAGTAAAATTGCAGATTTGCTCATTCCTTCGTAACCAGATGCTTAATTTCACAGACTCCACTTTAAAATTCACTTTAAAGAAAACAAGAAAATGAAGATCAATCTGATAAGGACACTACAGTTTCTCAAAACCCACACATCGTTTCTTAGGCAGACATGCTTCAAAGCCCACTTGGTTCAAAGGCCTTTATTTAAAAGATTAGACAAGATATCTAAAAATTAGAACTGTAGGAAAAATAAGTCACAGGTGCACATAAAACTACGAGAATGCAAAGGCCGATACTTTTCTGTTAAGCGAACTGGAAAACAAAACAAAAATCCACCTTAAGTACAGACTGAGTATAACGGGTCCAATTAAACCAACAATTTCTCAAATTTCAGACATAAATGTGTCTCTAAATGAGCAATCTTTTAAATAGTGCAGGTGTCACAGGGAAGGATGAACTGACTTAACCAAAAGAATCTACTAGTTCATCAATATTTTGATGCCAGGATGAAAAAGTAATTCCCTTACTTCCGAGGTAAGACTTCTGCAGATGATTTTTTTAGTGCACTGACTCAACTGTTCAGAATCTTAAAAAACCCTCACTCGCTAGTTTTAGAACACTAACACTGGGTGATAATCTCAGGTTCTACTCCAAGTTTCCTTCATGGGTTTCTCAAGATTCTGTGGACGTTCTCCCTGCAGACAGACAAGCTACAGGGCACGGGTGAGGCTGGGCAGACATCAATGAAAGACGCAAACACACCTCCACAGCCGCCTCCTGTCGGTCCTCACCCTTCACCAGACTTATTCTCTGATGGTTTTCTGCATGTACCTCCCTTTTCTTTGGGGACTTAAATGTTTCCCCGAGAATAACAGAAGAAAGCTGATAGGTGGGGAGGAAGGACATCATCGGGTAAACAAATATTTAACACCTTTGGTTTCTGGCCAGTGATGCCTTGTCAGAGTATTTCCAAATCAAAATAGTTTCAATCCACACACAGATTATGAAGACAGAAATACACACCCATTCTACCCACTTCCCCTGCACTGGGGTGCTTGGGACAAAATACGGCCCAAGGAGAGAGCAGCGGGGAGGAAGCCAAGGGGGAGCCTCAGCAGGGGAGGGCGCTGGCCCGCCCAAACCTCGTGGGACCTCAGTCCTGTTCCTCTGAGGAGCGACGGTAGCCCCCACCTACCCCTGACCACAGGGAGCAGGACACAACATACAGCTCTACTGCAGGTTCTGGCAATAACCTACTTTATTCCAGCCACACCCAGAGGCAGGGTTTCTAAGTTCCTAGAACTGTTCACTGTCTGAGAACCACCTGTGACGTGGTCAGCATGAGTCCTGCTGATAAGAGTGATGCTGGGGATGAGGCAGTTTCGGCCAAGTGAGCCCGCTCTGCACCAGTGCTTTACACAAGCCCCTCGCCTGCATTCCAGGAGGACCGCTACCACTCTGCAGTCTCCAAAACCCTGTGACGAATCAGTGCAGCCAGACACCCTGGGATCTCAAATGCCAAAAAACTACCCACAGTTGTGCACTTGGCTCCAGATTAGTTACTTGGTTCTCTGGTGAGATTAACACCCCGGGTCACTCAGATTCGCAGGGCTGGCTGAGTAGATCAAAGCGCTGCATCCGAAGTCTCCCACTGCCTAGTGCGACCAGTCACTGGCCCGGCGGCCTTGGAGGCCCCTCCTGTGAGGTCAGAGGGACAGAACAACATGGAGAAAGGCTCCCTCCCTCAGGGGTTTTCCACCCAGTGAAACACCTGTATTGGGCCTTACCTCCACCATTCAGTGGGTTTACAGGCTCATTAGGGCCCAAGCAATGGTCCGGTAAGACCTGACTTCAAAGTAATGCCGACTGCATACCGGTGTGTCACACACCCAGCACCATGAGCCCCTCCCTTCTAAAGGAGGCCAGGCAGATGGCCCCACTGGAGGGTGCAGCCTATCCACCTCACCTGCATTCAGTGGGCAGCATGGATGCCTGAACAGAACGCTGAGGACAAGGGCTCCACCTCCAAGGATGAGAGAGGAGAACTGGCGGAGAATGAGGCTCCTGGGACTGGGAGGGAGGCCAGTTCTAACCAGGCAGAAAATGCTCCACAACTGGAGGCTCAGTGCAAGCCACAGGGATAGGAGCAGGGGTCAGTGGTCCACCAGAAGGGCCAGCGTGGACAGACGGGGAACCGAGCACCCAGGGCCCCCTGTGGCCCCACAGAGGGAAGATGCACACAGCCACTTCAGCAGGAGGCAGGGACGCTCAGCTGCCCTAGGGTTCTGTCTCTGACAATGAAAACCACCACACAACTTTGTGCACATCTCAGACAGGAGATGTAAACTGACAGGCTCACCCACTTCAAATAAAGAAAAGTCCCTTCAGGAAGTTAAAACAGAGGTACCACCAGCGAGAGCTTAGTACAGGAGACCGTATGACCTACCTGTGCCAAAGCCGCCCCCACTCCCCTTCCTGAGCCATGGTGCAGAACCCACCAGATTTGCAATCACGTTTCACACGGTTTACCAGTATCTATAGAAGTGCACACCTCTCTACGACAAGCATGGCGCATGCCTGATTCGTCCCGGACCCGCTACGGCCCCAAGTTTTCCTCATTTACAATCATGAAGTCTTGGTGGGAGGTACCCACCACAAAAAAAGAGGAAGGAATGCACCAGTTTTCTAAAGAGTGCAATTTCGATGACCGAGGACTTTTTAAAAAAAAGTTCCAAGGTCCGCCGCGAGCGCAGCCTCGTCAGCTGCCACCCTGGAGACGTCTTCCTACCCAGTGCCTGGGCCAGGACCCCCGCCCGTCCCCGTCCCCGTCCCCATCGCCCCACTCACCCGGGGGCCACCACTTGGCCCGGCTGCGCGCACAGCTCCCGCACCACGCCGGCTCGCTCCGACCTCAGCCGGCGCTCCGCGCGCACGCAGC